TTTCCTCTTGGGCGCTGGCAACTTTTGCCAACTGTGGAGCTGTCGGCACTTCGGTGGGCTCCTGGGAGGTCCAGTGGAGTGTGGTCCCATCCAGCTCAAAAGTATTACGTACCCACCCTTCCTGGGCGCTGCTAATTGCGCAACTGCTGGCATTTTCGTGAGTAGTTCCTGGGGGGACAGCGGAGAGCGGTGCGATGCGGACCAGAATTAGAGCTTCTTTTGGCGCTCCAAACTACTCAGCTGTCGGTGCTTTCGTGAGCTCCCGGGGTTCCAGCGGAGTGCGATGCCACTCGGATCAGAATTATAAGCTCCCCCATTCCCTGGGCGCTGCCAACTTCGTAAATGTTGTTTCTGTCCTGAGCGCCTGGGGTGTCCAGCTGAGTGAGACGCTATGCGGATCAGAATGGTTGCCTCCCTCCGTTGGCGCTGCAAGCTGCGCAATTGTATTTTTTCAGTGAGCGTCAGGGGGGTCAAGCAGTGTGCGGTGCTTTCCGGATCCCACTCTCTGGGCGCTGCCAATTTTGAAACTGTCGGCGCTGTCGTCAGCATCTGGGGGGCCAGCGGGGTGCTGTCCTACGCAGGCCCAAACTAAAATTGTTTACGCTTCGCGAGTCCCCACCAGCCCATCCAAAAGCAGCCGCTCGAAAAAGGTGCGCTGACCGTAGGGTGTTTTCTCTTCCTTCTCCCTCTCTTTGGCTTCTTTCTTCCATCCTCCTCTCCTTCTCCTCGTCCTCGTTGCTCCTTCTCTTCGTCCTCCTCCTCCTGGCGTTGCCGTGCGATCTTGGGGCTCTCTTGGGATTTCAGGGAATCGTGGCCCTGGGGCTCTCTTGGGGCTCTCTTGGGGCTCCTTTGGGAGTCTTGAAACCCTCTCGGGGCTCTTTGTGGGAGTTTGGGAGGTCTCTTGGGGCCATCTTGGAGGCCATCGGGCAAAGAAGGAGAGATCATTTATTGGTGTACCCCCGTCGGGGCCCGAAATATCGCCTCTTGGAGCCCTCTTGGGCCGCTCTTGGGCGCCTGTTGGGCACTCTTGGGGCCGTCTTGGGGCCCTCTTGGGCCGTATTGGCCGCCGCTTGGGCCGTCTTGGGGCCCTCTTGGGCCGTTTTGGAGCCGTCTTGGGAGCCTATTGGGCCGTCTTGGGGCGGTCTTGCGGGCCTTTTGGGCTGTCTTGGAGCGTCGGGAAGCAGAAAGGGCGAGAACGCTAAAATGTTTGAAATACTTAAGGAAACATATGAATTTGGCCTCGTGGGGCCCTCTTAGGGGACCTCTTGGGCCGTCTTGGCCCCTCGGGGGCGTCCTTGGGAGGTTCCGCGGCCACTTGGAGCCGTCTTGGGGCGGTCTTGGAGCCTCTTGGGGCTCTCTTGGGCCGCTCTTGGGGCCGTCTTGGGGCCCTCTTGGGCCGTATTGGCCGCCGCTTGGGCCGTCTTGGGGCCCTCTTGGGCCGTCTTGGAGCCGTCTTGGGAGCCTATTGGGCCGTCTTGGGGCGGTCTTGTATGCCTTTTGGGATGTCTTGGAGCGTCGGGAAGCCGAAAGGGCGGGAACGCTAAAATGTTTGAAACGCCCACGGAAAATCAATGGTTATGGCTTCTTGGGGCCCTCTTAGGGCGCCTCTCGGGGCTCTCTTGGAGCGTCTTGGGGACCTCTTGGGCCGCCTTAGCTTCTCGGGGGCGTCCTCGGGAGGCTCCGCGGCCACTTGGAGCCGTGTTGTGGCGGTCTTGGAGCCGCTTGGGGCTCTCTTGGGCCGCTCTTGGGCGCCACTTGGGCGCTCTTGGGGCCGTCTTGGGGCCCTCTTGGGCCGTACTGGCCGCCGCTTGGGCCGTCTTGGGGCCCTCTTGGGCCGTCTTGGAGCCGTCTTGGGAGCGCTCTTGGGGGCCTTGGGAGCGCTCTTGGGGCCATCTTGGAGGAGATCGGTCAAAGAAGACGAAAGCATTTATTTGCCCCCTCCCCCCCCACGATCCCTATGAGGGGTGTCAAAAAATGAGCCTCCCAGGGACCGACACAGGACGCCCCGGCGACCCGCGGCCCTCCCTCTCCAGGCCCAAGGGGGGGGGGTAGGGGGAGGGGTCAAGAGTCCCCCTCCCCGCCCGCAAGCCGTCTCGCTCACTCCCACCCGCCCTCCCAACACATACGTAGCACCCGAGCCTGGCCCGAGCCTTAGCATATTCAGCAGTCGTCTTTGGATGGATGGGCAGCTACTGGGGGCCAATCCGCCGCCGCCGCCGCCCCCGCCGCCGCCGCCGCCGCCGCCGCCGCCGCCCCCCGCTTCCAAACCGCCGCCGCCGCCGCAGCCGCCACCGCCACCGCCGCCGCCGCCGCCGCCGCCGCCGCCCCGCCGCCGCCGCCGCCGCCGCCGCCGCAGCCGCCGCAGCCGCCGCAGCCGCCGCAGCCGCCGCAGCCGCCGCAGCCGCCGCCGCCAAGTGTACTCTGTATTGTTTTTTGACAGGGATGGTGGGGGGGGGCGCATCGGGTTGGCTGCGCATGTTCCGAATTTGGAGGCAGAGTGTGTTTTGTATTGTTTTTTACAAGGGATGGTGGGGGGGTGTCGTCATGGACCCTGGTTGGCCCCCAGTCGCCTGGGGGAGGGGGTGTTTATTAATAGGGAACAGTGATCAAGACCCCCTCCCCGCCCGCAAGCCGTCTCGCTCACTCCCACCCGCCCTCCCAACACATACGTAGCACCCGAGTCTGGCCCGAGCCTCAGCATATTCAGCAGTCGTCTTTGGATGGGCAGCTACTGGGGGCCAATCCGCCGCCGCCGCCGCCCGCCGCCGCCGCGCCGCCGCCGCCCCCGCTTCCAAGCCGCCGCCGCCGCCGCCGCAGCCGCTGCCGCCACCGCCACCGCCGCCGCCGCCGCCGCCGCAACCGCCGCCGCCGCCGCCGCCGCCGCCGCCGCCGTCGCCGCTGCCGCCGCCGCCTCCAAGTGTACTCTGTATTGTTCTTTGACAGGGATGGTGTGGGGGGGCCGCATCGGGTTGGCTGCGCATGTTCCGAATTTGGAGGCAGAGTGTGTTTTGTAATGTTTTTTTCAAGGGATGGTGGGGGGGGGTCGTCATGGTCCCTGGTTGGCCCCCAGTCGCCTGGGGGAGGGGGTGTATATTAATAGGGAACAGTGATAAACCCGTCCCCGGAAGGGAAGGAGGGGGTTGAGAACAGAGAGGACTATCTAAACCACTCACGCCTCAAGGGCTGGTGGGATTCCCTTCCCTGAGCGCGACCAGCTGCGCAGTTGCCCCACGCACTGCGCCGGACCGAAGCAGCCGGCGTTGGAATCCGAGGCGCTGCGGCGCGATGTCCTTTTCTCAGCATTCTTGTGTTGGGTTCTCGTCTTGAATCGAGCAGTGCGGTCGCACACCCTCTCCTCTCCTCCCCCCTCCTCCTGCCTCCTCCTGCCTCCTCCTGCGCTGCTCTCTCAGTGGCTGCGACGGCGGAATCGGGGAGTAAACGGACCCAGTCGAGACCTGGCAGCTCTCAGGGTGGCTGCGAATTGCGCAACGGTCGCGACTTGCGTGGGCTCCTGGGAGGCACGGCGGAGTCGGGCAGTAAACAGATCCAGCCGAGACCTCGCAGCTCCCTGAGCGGCTGTGAACTGCCCAACTGTCGCCACTTTCGTGGGCTCCTGGGAGGTCCGGCGGAGTCGGGGGCCACGCGCACCCACACGAGGCCTCGCGGCTCCCTGGGTGACTGCGAAGTGTGCAATTGTCGCCACTTTCGTGGGCTCCTGGGAGGGCCAACGGAGTTGGGGGCCACGCGCACCCAGACGAGGCCTCGCTGCTCCCTGGGTGGCTGCGAATGGCGTAACCTTCGCCACTTTCGTGATCTCCTGGGCCATACGCATCCAGCGAGACCTCGCTGCTCCCTGGTTAGCTGCGCTCTGCGCAACTGTCGCCACGTTCGTGGGCTCCTGGGAGGCACGGCGGGTCGGGGGCCACGCGCACTCAGACGAGGCTTCGCCGTCCCTGGGTGGCTGCGAACTGTGCAACTGGCGCCACTTTCGTGTGCTCCTAGCAGTTCCAGCGGAGTCGGGGACCACGCCCACCCAGACAAGACCTCGCTGCTTCCTGGGTGGCTGCGCTCTGCGTGACTGTCGCCGCTTTCGTGATCTCCTGGGAGGGCCAACGGAGTCGGGGGCCACGCGGAGCAAGCCAAGACCTCGCTGCTCCCTGTGTGGCTGCGAACTGCGCAACTGGCGCCACTTTCGGGATCTCCTGGGAGGTCCAACGGAGCCGGAGGCCACGCCGAACCAGCTCAGACCTCGCTGTTCCCTGGTTAGCCGTGCTCTGCGCAACTGTCATCACTTTCGTGATCTCCTTGGAGGGCCAACGGAATCTGGGGCCACACGCACCCAGACGAGACCTCGTTGCTCCCTTGGTGGCTGCGAAGTGCGCAATTGTCGCCAGTCTCGTGGGTGGGAGGCACGGCGGAGTCGGGGGTCACGCGCGCGCAGCCGAGACCTCGTGGCTCCCTGGGTGGCTGCGAGCTGTGCGATTGTCGCCACTCTCGTGGGCTCCTGGGAGGCATGGCGGAGGTAAGGGCGGCGCAGATCATGTATATCTGGCTGGCTTCTGCTCGCTTGCTCCCTTCCCTGAGCGCGGCCACCTTCGCAACCGTTGTTGCTTCCGTGCGCTTATTGGGAGGTCCCGCGGAGTGACCTCCTTGCGCTCATAGTAAGTTTTCCCGCGGTGGCTCCTCGTGATTACAGCTTTCTTGGGGCGCGCACCGCGTAGTCACCCTTGTGTAGCTTCGCAGCGGGGACAGCGCGCTGATTCAAAGTTTCATTCGTCTTGGATCGGCCCGTTGAGACTGCCCATTGTTTCGGATGGTTTGTCAGACGGAATGGGTACGTCCTTGGGTAAACCTCCAGGAGCTCCCGACAGCCTCCGAAGCGAAGAAGTCGCCCTCGAACCCAGATCGACGACGACGATGACGACGACCACAACGGGCAGCGATGGGGGCCACAGCGAGTCGTCTGGTCGCCCATGCCTGCCTGCCCGCGCGCCCCGTGAGCCAGGATGCTCACCGTGGCGGCTTCCTGCAAGATGGTGGCGACCTACAGCCTGAGCGCGTTCCTGCCTATCTGGTGCCCTGTCGGAGGAGGACGAGGGAGGAGGCAGAGAGGGACGAGGAGAGGGAATGAGGGAGGGATGATGATGACGATGATGATGATGACGATGATGATGGTAGTTATGATGATTCTGATGAGGAGGAGGAGGAGGCTGATCGTCATGGTGAGGATGATGCTGATGAGGGTGCTGGGGCTGATGATGATCATGAGGGTAGTGGTGGTAACGACGCTGCTGCCGATGTTGATGTGCTTTTCGTACTGATGCTAGTTATGCTGATGGTGGTAAACAAGATGGTGACGAAGACGATGATGATGCCGATGCTGGTTGTGATGCTTAGGATGAGAATGCTGATGCTGATGCTGTTGATGCTGATAACTGGTGGGGATGATGATGGCGACGACGATGCTGATGCTGATGATGATGATGATGATGCTTATGCTGATGATGACGATGATGAGGATACTGAGGTTTTCTTGTGATGATGATAATGCTGATGATGATGACGATGATGGTGGTGATGGTGATGATGATGATGATCATGAGGTTGATGATGATGATGACGGTGCGGCTGATGATGATGTGGCTGGTGGTAGTGAGCCTGATGGTGATGGTGATGATGATGATGATGATGATGATGATGATGATGATGATGATGATGATGATGATGATGATGTTGATGAGGTTGATGATGATGATCACGGTGATGACGACGAAGAGGATGACGATGCTGATCATTGCGATGAGGCTGAGAATGACGATGATGATGCTGTTGATACTTGTAACTGGTGAGGATGACGATGGCGACGACGACGGCGATGGTGATGAGGATACTGGTGATGAGGATGATGATGGCGATGATGATGCTAATAATGATGATGATGGTGCTGATGATGATGGTGATGTTGATGCTGGTGATGCTGATACTGGTGATTAGGATGATGAGAGTGGTGGTGATCGTGGTGGTGAGGATGATAATGATCATGATACTGATCATGCTGATGCTTCTGATGCTGATGAGGCTGATGATGTTGCTGCTGTTCAAACTGCTGATTATGGCGATGATGCTGAAGATGCTGCTTGGGATGATGATGATGATGCTGATGATGATGATGATGATGATGCTGGTGCAGATGAAGATGATGATGCTGATGGTGATAATGATGATTATACTGATGATGCCGCTGCTGCTGATGATGATGCTGATGATGATGCTGCTGCTGATGATGAGGGTGAGTCTGTGGATTATGATGATGATGATGGCGATGATGATGACGATGATGATGAGGATGAGGATGATGGTGGTGATGATGCCGATTCTGATGATGATGACGATGATGATGATGGTGATGGTGACGATGCTGGTGATGCTGCTGTCTCTGCTGCTGGCGAGGACGAGGATCCGTATGTGGACGATGATGCTGCTGATGATGCTGCTGCTGCTGATGATGATGATGATGATGATGGCGATGATGATGGTGATGATGATGCTGCTGATGATATGGCGGCAATGCTGATTGTGATGGTGATGGAGAAGGTGATGATGCTGACGATGCTGATGCTGATGATGATGATGCGGATGCGGGTGCTGATGCGGGTGATGATAAGGGTAAGGCTATTGATGATGCTGCTGATATTGGTACTGCTGATGATGTTGGTGCTGCTGATGATGATGCTGATGATGTTGATGCTGACGATGACGATGCTGCTAATGATTATGCTGATGTAGACAATGGTGATTATGCTGCGGATTCTGCTGATGATGATGATCGTGATGATGATGCGGGCGAAGGTGATGATGCTGTTGATGTGTATGAGGATGGTGCTGATGCTGGTGCTGGTGGTGATGCTGATGATGTTGCTGATGATGATGAGGATGAGTATGTTGATGAGGGCGATGGCAATGCTGCTGATGCTGAGAATGGTGATTATGGTGATGCGATGACGGCGACGGCGACGACGCCGTCAACGACACCGACGACGACGATGACGATGACGATGACGATGATGCTGATGCTGATGCTGATGCTGATGATGGCGATGCTGATGCTGGTGATGATGATGCTGATGACGGATGGTGATGATGGTGGTTATAATGGTGATGATGGTGATGGTGATGGTGATGCTGATGCTGAAGCTGATGATGCTGAGGATGATGATGATAGTTCTGACGACGACGAAGTTGCTGCTGATGATTGTGATGGTGATGATGATGACGATAACGACGACGAGGAGAAGGAAGAGGATGGGAATCGCGAGGACTGGGGACAGGGGTGGAGGGCGGATGGGAGCCTCATTTCAGGAGGAGGAAGGAGAGGGGGACCATGAATGAGGAGGCGCAGAGGATGTGCAGGGATGGGGGAATGTACTAGATGGCTGCTTCGGGGGACGAGGGCGATGAGAAGGATACTGACGAAGACGGTCATAGTTTCGTCAGCGAAGGTGGTTCTGCTCATACTGATGGTGGGACGGATGTAGGTGATGACGGCGATGACGATGTAGATGTTGATGCCAACGATCTCGATGATAGTGTTGACGATGATGAGCTGCTGCCACTGTTACTGATGTTGATGGTGGTGACGAGTATGATGATGATGCTGGTGATGCTGATGACGATGATGATGCTGCTGAGGATGATGATGATGATGATGATGATGATGATACTGATGACGATGACGACGACGATGATGATGATGACGATGATGATGGTGGTATGTGATGATGATAACGATGATGCTGATGATGATGCTGGGAGGTTAACTGATATCACCATGAAACCTAGCAAGTCTTTCATAATGTTTGACATTGATGATCCCCGAATATTGAGCCATTGCATTCGTGGTGTGTCAGCTGGATGCGAATGAACAGGAGGAGGGGGATCAGGGGGGATCAGGGAATGAAGGGTGAGGATAATCAGGACGATCGTCATGTTGATCGCAGTTGTGATGGTGTTGCGGATGAAGATGTTGATGATGCTACTACTGTTGATGCTGATGCTGATGCTGCTGCTGCTGCTGCTGCTGCTGCTGCTGATGATGATGATGATGATGATGATGATTGGGTTGCTGCTGCTGATGAAGCTGATCACGATGTGGATGGCGACGACGACGACAGTTAGGGTAATGATTGTGCTGCCAACGGTTATAGTGGTGATGCTGACGGCAACAATGTTGATGATGCTGCTATTGATGACGACGATTAGGTCAACCGACGATTATGACGATGATGGCGATGACGATGACTGTGCTGGTGATGCTGATGATGAGGATGATGAGGATGGTGAGAATGACGATGAAGACGAGGACGAGGAACAGGATGAGGGTGATGATGATGACGACGATGACGATGCTTTTGCTGTTGTTGGTGGTGGTGTTGGTTGTTGTTTTGATGTTGTTGATGCTGTTGTTGTTGTTGTCGTTATCGTTGTCGTTGTCGTCGTCGTTGCCGTCGTCGTCGTCGTCGTCGTCGTCGTCGTCGTCGATGTTGTTGTTGTTGTTGTGGTTGTGGCTGAGGTTGTGTTGAAGTTTGCGATTCTGGTTTTGCTTGTGGTTATTGAATTCTCATTTCCAGACTAGTCATTTTTGATCCCCCCTCTGATCACCATCGTGTCTATCAACTGAAGTGCCCCCCCTCGGTGCTCGCACCTTGTTTTTCATCAGAGAAAGCTTGGTTTCACCAAATTGCGCCTCTGGCCCCCGACCTACACAACAACAACGGCTCCTGCCTGATTCTTCCTAACAGTTGATTTGAAAATCTCGCTCTGGAGGAGACTTCCTCACACGTTCTGCAGGAATCTCGTTCTCGCGTGAGAGTTCCGTCCAATTTATTCAGACGCCGCGCCCTCGACACAGGAATCACGCTCTCGCTTTGGCTTTTCTGACGATTTACTTGGGAATCACGCTATCGCTCCAGCTCTCCTCGCGATTCATGCAGTATTCACGCTTCAGCAACACGCCTTCTCGACCTGGCCGGTTGGGCCCACCTTCCCGACCCGCTTGTTAGGGCCTACCCGCTCTCAGGCCCCCTCGTGCTTATCCCGTGCTCTATGCTTCTCCCTCCCCCTTCCATCCGTCCTCTCGTCCACGTTGTCAGAGGCTGCACCAATTACGCGCGGCAAGTAAGGAAGATATACCCCCAGGGGGCTACGATCGAAGACGAAGAGGGCGGGTACCGAGGGTTTGGGATATACGTTTTGAATGGCACGCGAGCAGGGAAGAGCGAACACTCTTACAATGATTGCTGCTGTTGTTGTTGTTGTTGTTGTTGTTGTTGTTGTTGTTGTTGTTGTTGTTGTTGTTGTTGTTCCGTCTGTTTTTGTTGTTTTGGTTGTTGTTTTTGTTGTTGTGTTTCGTTGTCGTTGTCGTTGTTGCTGTTGTCGTTGTTGTTGAACTCTCATTTCTGAAGAACGATTATTGTTGATCCCCCCGTCCGGTGCACATTGTTTTTTTCGATTGAGGTGCCCTTCCCGGGGCTCGCATCCTGTTTTTTACCAGGGAAGGTCTTGAGGGTCAAACTGTTTCGTTGGCCCCCGGTTTACAACAACAACAACGGTTACCGCCTGATATTTCCTTACAATTTATTGAAGAATCGCGCTCTCGCTTGGGACTTTCTTGCAATTTACCACCGGATCGCGGCTCCCGCTGGATACTTCCTCACCATTTATTGAAGAATCGCGCTCTCGCTTCGGGTTTCCTTGCAATTTACCACCGAATCGCGGCTCCCGCCTGATACTTCCTCACAATTCATTCAGATGCCGCTTCTCGACACTCAGGAATCGCGCTCCCGCTACATATTGCCTGGCGGTTCAAGAAGAATTTACGCTTCAACGACCCGCCCGCTCGACCCGCCCGTCTGGGCCTGCCCGCCCGACCAGCCCGTTAGGGACTGCAGTCGCCGCTCGCTGCCCTTCGCCCGCCTTCGATGCCCGTCGCTGCCCGTACTGCTTCCGCGGTCGCCATCGCTCGCTGCCCTTCGTGACCCCGTTCCTTGCCCATTGTGGCCCCACATTAAATGCCCTTCGTGGCCCCCGCTCGTTCGCGCCCGTCGTGGCCCCATATGCATGCTTTTCGTAGCCCCGCTGTCGCCCTTCGTGGCCCTCTCGCTGCCCTTCGTGGCCCCTTTGCTGCCCTCAGTGGCCCCGCTGTCGCCCTTTGCGGCCCCAAATGCGAATGGCCTTCGTGGCCCCCGCTCGTTCGCGCCCGTCGTGGCCCCATATGCATGCTTTTCGTGGCCCCGCTGTCGCCCTTCGTGGCCTCCTCTCTGCCCTTTGTGGCCCCGCTTCTGCCCTCAGCGGCCCCGTCGCTGCCCTCTGTGGCCCCAGATTAATTGCCCTTCTTGGCCCCCGCTCGCTCGCGCCCTGTGTGGTCCCATACGCATGCGTTTCGTCGCCCCGCTGTCGCCATTCGTGGCCCCCTCGCTGCCCTTCGTGGCCCATTTTCTGCGCTCAGTGGCCCCGCTGTCGCCTTTTCTGGCCCCATATATGTATGCCCTTCGTGGCCCCCGCTCGTTCGCGCCCGTCGTGGCCCCATATGCATGCTTTTCGTGGTCTCGCTGTCGCTCTTCGTGGCCCCCTCTCTGCCCTTCGTGGCCCCGTTTCTGCCCTCAGCGGCTCCGTCGCTGCCCTCTGCGGCCCCAAATGCGAAGACCCTTCGGGGCCCCCTCTCGTTCGCGCCCGTCGTGGCCCGCGCCAACAACGGCTCCCGCCTGATACTTCTTTACAATTTATTGAAGAATCGCGCTCTCGCTTGGGATTTCCTTTCAATTTGCCACCGAATCGCGGCTCCCGCCTGATACTTCCTCACAGTTTATTGGAGAATCGCGCTTTCGCTTTGGTTTTCCTTGCAACCATACGCGTGCTCTTCGCAGCCCCGCTGTCGCCCTTCGTGGCCCTCTCGCTGCCCTTCGTGGCCCCTTTGCTGCCCTCAGTGGCCCCGCTGTCGCCCTTTGTGGCCCCATATACGAATGCCCTACGTGGTCCCCGCTCGCTCGCGCCCGTCGTGGCCCCATATGCATGCCCTTCGTGGCCCCGCTGTCGCCCTTCGTGGCCCCCTCGCTGCCCTTCGTGGCCCCGGTGCTGCCCTCAGCGGCCCCGTCGCTGCCCTCCGTGGCCCTGGATTAATTGCCCTTCGTGGTCCCCGCTCGCTCGCGTGCATCTGCCCTTTGTCGCCCCGCTGTCGTCTTTCGTGGCCCCCTCGCTATACCCAGTCCCTCCTCCAGATTCCTCTGTGCGTCCCCCGCTCGTCCGCACTCTTCCCGGTTTCCTCTTCTCCACTCCTTGCCGCTCCTCCTCCTGAGACCCCACTCTTGTCCACTCCATCACAATCCACTCCACATCCCCGCGCTCCTCTCGACACGGTTGTAGTTCTCATTATCCTTCCGCCCCACTCTCCCAACATCCCGCTTTTTTTCAGGGTTCCACGAAATTTGTTTCTGACACCAGTTCGCAGCTGTACGTCCCCCCGTGGGGGTATCCACGATATGTTCTTTCAAGGGGGTGGTACGTGGCGCTGTTTATGGCCCGACCCATGGCGAAACTTATTGTTCACCTGTGTTGGAGTGGCTGGCGCAAGCCATGGCGCAAGCTGAATCGCCACTCGCAGCACAAATCATCGTCCTCCCTCCTTGCCCCTCCCCTCCCTTCTCCGATCCCTTCGTCCTCATTCTCCCCAGTTATCTGTTACCCTTTGTTTTCAAGGGCTTCGCCCCCCAGAAAGGGGTGCGATCGAAGACGAAGAGGTCGGGTTTCCAGGGTTTGGGATATGCGTATTGAATGACACGCGAGCATATCAGAGCGAACAGTCTTAAAATGATTGTCGTTGTTGTTGTTTTCCTTGTTGAGTTCTCATGTCTGAAGAATAACTATTGTTGATCCCAACCGTCAGTGCACGTCGTTTTTTTTTTTTTTTTTTTTTTTTTTTTTTTTTTTTTTTTTTTTTTTTTTTTTTTTTGTTTTTGTTCGATTGAAGTGCGATTCCCGGGGCTCGCACTTGACTTTTTTATGAGGGTAATTCTTGAGGGTCAAACTGCGTTCTTGGTCCCCGGTTTACAGCAAAATCGGCTCCCGCCTCATATTTCCTGACAATTATTATTGAATCGCGCTCTCGCTTTGGTTTTTCTGACGATTTACTTGGGAATCACGCTATCGCTCGAGCTCTCCTCGCGATTCATGCAGTATTCACGGTTCAGCAACGCGCCTTCTCGACCTGGACGGTTGGGCCCACCTTCCCGACCCGCCTGTTAGGGTCTACCCGCTCTTAGGCCCCCTCGTGCTTATCCCGTGCTCTATGCTTCTCCCTCCCCCTTCCATCCGTCCTCTCTTCCACGTTTTCAGAGGCTGCACCAATTACGCGCGGCAAGTAAGGAACATATACCCCCAGACGGGCTACGAGCGAAGACGAAGAGGGCGGGTACCGAGGGTTCGGGATATACGTGTTGAGTGGCACGCGAGCAGGGAAGAGAGAACACTCTTACAATGATTTTTGTTGTTGTTGCTGTTGCGTCTGTTTTTGTTGTTTTTGTTGTTGTGTTTCGTTGTTGTTGTCATTGTTGCTGTTGTCGTTGTCGTTATTGCTGTTGTTATCGGTGTTGTCGTTGTTGAACTTTCACTTCGGAAGAATAATTATTGTTGATCCCCCCCGTCTGATGCACATTGTTTTTCGATTGAAATGCCCTTCCCAGGGCTCGCACCCTGTTGTTTACCAGGGAGAGTCTTGAGGGTCAAACTGTGTCGTCGGCCCCCGGTTTACAACAACAACAACAACAACAACGGCTCCCGCTTGATATTTCCTTACAATTTGTAGAAGAATCGCGCTTTCGCTTTGGACTTCCTTGCGATTTACCACTGGATTGCGGCTCCCGCCTGATACTTCCTTGCAATTTATTGAAGAATCGCGCTCTCGCTTGGGACTTCCTCGCAACTTACCACCGAATCGTGGCTCCCGCCTGATACTTCCTAACAATTTGTTCAGATGCCGCCCCTCGACATTCAGGGATCGCGATCCCGCTACATATTGCTTGGCGGTTCAAGCAGAATTCACGCTTCAATGACCCGCCCGCTCGACCCGCCCGTCTGGGCCTGCCCGCCCGACCAGCCCGTTAGGGACTGCAGTCGCCGCTCGCTGCCTTTCGCCCGCCTTCGATGCCCGTCGCTGCCCGTACTGGTTCCGCGGTCGCCTTCGCTCGCTGCCCTTCGTGGCCCCGTTGCTTGCCCACTGTGGTCCCGCATTATATGCCCTTCGTGGCCCCCGCTCGCAGTCGCCCGTCGTGGCCCCATATGCGTGCCCTTCGTAGCCCCGCTGTCGCCCTTCGTGGCCCTCTCGCTGCCCTTCGTGGCCCCTTTGCTGCCCTCAGTGGCCCCGCTGTCGCCCTTTGTGGCCCCATATGCGAATGCCCTTCGTGGCCCCCGCTCGTTCGCGCCCGTCGTGGCCCCATATGCATGCCCTTCGTGGCCCCGCTGTCGCCCTTCGTGGCCCCCTCTGTGCCCTTCGTGGCCCCGTTTCTGCCCTCAGCGGCCCCGTCGCTGCCCTCTGTGGCCCCGGATTAATTGCCTTTCTTGGCCCCCGCTCGTTCGCGCCCTTTGTGGTCCCATACGCATGCTTTTCGTCGCCCCGCTGTCGCTCTTCGTGGCCCCCTCGCTGCCCTTCGTGGCCCATTTTCTGCGCTCAGTGGCCCCGCTGTCCCCTTTTGTGGCCCCATATGCGAATGCCCTTCGTGGCCCCCGCTCGTTCGCGCCCGTCGTGGCCCCATATGCATGCCCTTCGTGGTCCCGCTGTCGCTCTTCGTGGCCCCCTCTGTGCCCTTCGTGGCCCCGTTTCTGCCGTCAGCGGCTCCGTCGCTGCCCTCTGCGGCCCCAAATGCGAATGCCTTCGGGGCCCCCGTTCGTTCGCGCCTGTCGTGGCCCGCGCCAACAACGGCTCCCGCCTGATAGTTCCTTACAATTATTGAAGAATCGCGTTCTCTGGGACTTACTTGCAATTTGCCACCGAATCGCGGCTCCCGCCTGATACGTCCTCACAGTTTATTGGAGAATCGCGCTCTCGCTTTGGTCTTCCTCGCAACCATACGCATGGTCTTCGTAGCCCCGCTGTCGCCCTTCGTGGCCCTCTCGCTGCCCTTCGTGGCCCCTTTGCTGCCCTCAGTGGCCCCGCTGTCGCCCTTTGTGGCCCCATTTGCGAGTGCCCTTCGTGGCCCCCGCTCGTTCGCGCCCGTCGTGGCCCCATATGCATGCCCTTCGTGGCCCCCCTGTCGCCCTTTGTGGCCCCCTCGCTGCCCTTCGTGGCCCCGGTGCTGCCCTCAGCGGCCCCGTCGCTGCCCTCTGTGGCCCCGGATTAATTGCCCTTCGCGGCCCCCGCTCGCTCGCGCCCTTCGTGGCCCCATATGCATGCCTTTTGTCGCCCCGCTGTCGCGTTTCGTGGCCCCCTCGCTATTCCCAGTCCCTCCTCCAGATTCCTCCGTGCGCCCCCCGCTCCTCCGCACTCCTCCCGGTTCCTCTTCTCCACTCCTTGCCGCTCCTCCTCCTGAGACCGTATTCTTGTCCACTCCATCCCACTCCACTCCACATCCCCGCGCTCCTCTCGACACGGTTGTAGTTCTCATTATCTTTCCGCCCCGCTTTCCCAACATCCCGCTTCTTTTCAGGGTTCCACGAAATTTGTTTCTGACACCAGTTCGCAACTGTACGCCCCCCCGTGGGGGTATCCACGATATGTTCTTTCAAAGGGGTGGTGGCGCTGTTTATGGCGCGACCCATGGCGAAACTGTGTGGCACTGTGTCGCCCGAGTGTGCAGTCGCAGGCCGACCGCCCGCCGCTGCTGCCGCTCCGCCCTCTGGTGGCAGGTACTCCCGGCGGGGCCTCACCGGCTACTCGGCGTACTCCTACGCCTGCTGGAGCCTCCTGGAGGAGGAGGAGGAGGAGGAGGAGGAGGAGGAGGAGGAGTTTCAGGAGGTGGAGGAGGAGGATAATGATGATGAGGGGGAGGAGGAGGATCATGAAAAGGAAAGAGGAGGAGTAGGAGAAGGAGGAGGCGAGGAGGAGGTGGAGGATAAAGAGGAGCTGGAGGAAGGGAGGAGGATGAGGCGTGGAGGAGGATGCGAAGAGGAGGCGGGGAGGAGGCGAGGAGGAGGAGGAGGCGGAGAAGGAGGAGGAGGAGGAGGAGGAAGCCAGAGTAACCTTCTGTTGCGTCAACGATGCCGGAGTACATCTGCCCGTTCCAAATCCTCATACATCTTTACCGCTGTTTTTTCCCCCTGCTGGAAGCGCCCCCGCTTGAATGACGAGTGGTCAGTCGGCCTGCCACTCAGGATCCGCATATCATCCTTCTAGCTATCAGGAGCGTAAATACTCAATCTTATCATTCAAGGGATCGTCCAGCGATTGCTCTGTTTTGAAAAGATCTGCCTTCCGTCCGTGGAAATGTTGCGCAGTTTCAAGTTTGTTCGTATTATTCGCAGAGGGCCCCATTTCCCCAATTAGGCTTTGCGTAGGGCTTTTGAATTCGTTGGTGACGAGCCGGTGTTCGCCAGGTAGGTTTGATGAGGCGGGCGGCCCTTGTTCTTCGCCAGTTCCCCAGTCTTGTTCTTTACCTTCTTTCGTTGGGCTTCCCGGTCCTTTTTCTGGCTCCCAGATCTTGTTCATTGCCTTCCTTCCTCGGGTTCTCTGGCCCCGGGCTTCCTCGGTCCCCAGGTCTTCTTCCTCGCCTTTTTGCAATGCCGTGCCAAGCAAGGGTAATCAACGCGAAGCAATGCCAATCAACGCCAAACAAAGCCAAACAACCGGAAGCAGTGCCAATCAATGCAGAGCGATACCAAGCAAAGCCAAGCAACGCAATCAAGCAAAGCAAAGCAATGCAATGTCAAGCAATGCAAAACAATGCAAAGCAAGGACAAGCAAGGACAAGCTACGCCGATCAATGCCAGCAACGGCAAGCAATGCCAAGCAATGCAGAACAATGTCATGCAACGACTCCAAGCACTACCAAGCAGTGCCAAGCAACGCCAAGCAATGTCAAGCGACTCCAAGCACTGCCAAGCAGTGCCAAGCAACTCCAATCAGTACCAATCAATGTCAAGCAACACAGCACACATCAATGCCAAACAGTTTTAATCAGTGCACAGCACGGCCGAACAATGCGAACCAATGCCAAGCAATGCTAAGCAATGCCAAGCAGTGCCAAGCAATGCCAAGCAATGCCGAGCAATGCCAACCAAAGGCAAACAATGCCAAGCAACGATGCCAACCAGTGCCAAGCAACGCTAAGCAATTCCAAGCAATGCCAAGCAATGCCAAGGAATGCCAAACAATGCTTCGAATTGCACTGCTTGGCATTGCCCAGAACTGGTTTGAACTGCTTTGGGAGACAGGAGCCCCTGAATGGGGTCGTGCCGAGTTGTTTGACACGGGGCCGCTCACCATTCGTTTAGCTGTTGCACAATTGTCGTCGTTTTCTTATTCATTGTTTTGCCGATCGGAGCGGGCCCTCGCACGCCTCCTCCCCCCCTTCCCATGGAGTACACCTTAGGCGATGCTTAAGAAAACCTAAGTTTTCGTCCAGAGTCTCGATTATTCTTAACTTTTCAATGTAAATCCCAAGATTTTGATAGAAGTTCTGGGTTTTATTCCATTTCTGACACTATGAATTTCTTAACCCATGATTTCTTAAGCATTTCGCAGGGTGTAGACCTTGGCTGTTTTGGGCGCCTGTTTCACGCAGGTGGAGTCTCCACCACAGGACGCACTGGTGCGAACAGTCGCACTAAGCAGAGGTTTCTGGAGCCAGACCTCCCCCCTCCCGCCCCTTCCGCCCAGTGTCGAGGCGCTGAATAAGAGCACGTCCGCATTGGGAACTTCCGACCGCAGAAGTTGACGGTGTCTCAGGCGAGAACCGCAGCCTGAGCTTCAAAGTCAGGGCTGTTGGTTGCAGGGAAGTCTCAGGCGAAACGCCCAGCCCAGCCTGTGGTCACGTCCGGTGGTGCGACAGGGGGGAGGGTTTGTAACGATCTGGGATGGAGGAGGAGGTTCGGAGGGTTGATAAAGGATGAAGGTTTGGAGGTTTGGAGGGTTGATAAAGGGGATGGAGGATGAAGGGATGGAGAGACGGAGGTTTGGAGGGTTGATGAAGGTGGAGGATGAAGGGAGGGTCTCTGACGAAGAGGGATGTTGAAGGAAGGGAGGATGATGAGCGTCTGTCGGGTAGATCCCCCTCCCCCTAGCCACCGTTTCTGCGACGCGACCACAGCAAGGCCGCTCTGGATCTCTGGATGCCGTGCCGCTCTAGCCTACGCGAAGCAGCCCCGAACTGGCCCGACGGCTCGATCGATCGACCACCCTCGGTTTTCCTCGCCCTCTTGGTTCTCGGCGGCCGCCTTCGCCTGCCAACGTCCCAACGTGGGGACCCGAGAGGCTGGCCAGGGACGACCCCTCGGGTCGAAGGCCCGCGGAGTGGTCGAAGGGCTTGGTCGGCGGATGTTCGGCCTGGGTACCCAGACCCCCTCGCGTTGCGAGAAAGACACGACGGGAGTTTCTTTGTTTGCCTACGGGGGCCCTCACCGGGCCTCGGGACCGTCGGAAAACCGTTCAGGACGAAGAATCGGTCCAGGGGAAGGGGTCCAGGCCTCTGGGGGTCGACGCTGTGAACAAAGTCACGACGACGGGGGTCTATGCTCCTCGGCCCGCCTCCTTTCCTTCCTTGGCCCCGGCCCCCGGCTCTTTCTTCCCTCTCCTCTCCCCCCTTCCCCTCCCCCCTCCCTCTCCATGTCCTCCCTTGCCCTTGTGTTTCCTTGCCCTTGTGCGGTGTGTGCTCTCCCTCTCCCTGCTGCTTGGCTCCCCCTCCCTGTCCCCCCGTCCGTCCGCATGCCGGCCCGGTCTGCCGTTTCCTGTCGGCAGGGTGATCACGGGCGCCGACGAAGGGGGGACGGGCTCAGGGGGACCAGCACCGACCCCAAACTGCACTCCTCGCCGACCTGGGCCCGGGTGCCCCAACCTGCCCAGGGACGCGAGGTCTCCGCCTCGGGGGCCAATCGCCGATCTATCGGCCTTGTACTGTCAATTCGAGGTAATCTTTTTAGCCCTGAGCCGAGCATCCCCTCCTTCGACTCCCCTTCCCCCCCCCCCTCTTCTTCGGAAAGGCCTGGAATCGAGATAAATCCATTCCAGAGTGTTCCAGAACGCTCTCAGAGCGTTCTGGAACGCTCTGAAACGGCTGCGGCGCCCGATACATCTTCCGAACCCGTCCCAAATGTTTCCGGTTTGTACCGGTCTGATTGTCTCGATTCTGCCTCCGTCTTGGTTCTGAGACGCCAGAGGGGCTTCGTGGCAGGAGGGCTCCTGAGAGGCGGGATGTCGCCCGAGAATGCCCCCCCGCCTCAGCCCCGCCCCGTAGCTCGCCAGCCAACAGAACGGCGGAGACATTGACTTTCGGGGGCCCGCGCGGGCTTTTTTTCGGCGGCGAGCGAGGGGGAGAAGTGAGAAGGAGGAGTCCTTCCCAGAAGGCGGCGGGACTTCTCCGAAGCCCTCTGGCCTTCTTGGAGGTTTGTCATGTTTTCGGGGAAGGCTCAGAAAACTTCTTCCAAGGCCCGAGGCCTTCCGAGCCTTGTCATCAGACCCGCCCAGTCTCACTTGCCTCCCAGGCGCGCTGCCAATTCTTGGGTCGGCGCTGGACCCCCCGTCCCAGGCGCCTTCACCAGCGCTCGGGGCAGTCCTCACCGCGAGACATAACACAATGCTCCTCTACACTGTGGTGCGTGCCCCGCCCTTGCGCTCTGCTAATCGGCGGACGCACGGCGGCAACACATCAATTTTTCCCAACCATCCTGTGGTGTTGGGTCCTCGTTTTGAAGAGACGGTGCCCCCCGTCTCCTTCTCCTCCCGCTGCCCCCTCCCTCCCCTCTCCTCCCCCTCCTTGCCTCTTCTCTCGGCACACCCCTCACACGTTTCGTGGCCACATAGGGAGCTCCACCGAAGGTCCCAGTGGCACAGCCCGCATGCGGTTCCCCCACCCAGGGCAGCGTTTCGTGGCCCCATAGTGAGCTCCACCGAAGGTCCCAGTGGCACAGCCCGCATGCGGTTCCCCCACCCAGGGCAGCGTTTCGTAGCCCCATAGGGAGCTCCACCGAAGGTCCCAGTGGCACAGCCCGCATGCGGTTCCCTCACCCAGGGCTGCGTTTCGTGGCCCCATAGGGAGCTCCACCGAAGGCCCCAGTGGCGCAGTTCGCATGCGCCCCCCCCCCCCCGCCCAGGGCAGCGTTTCATGGCCCCATAGGTAGCTCCCCCGAAGGTCCCAGTGGCGCAGTTCGCATGCGCCCCCCCCACCCAGTACAGCGTTTCGTGGCCCCATAGGGAGCTCCACCGAAGGTCCCAGTGGCGCAGTTCGCATGCGTCCCCCCCGCCCAGTACAGCGTTTCGTGGCCCCACAGGGAGCTCCACCGAAGGTCCCAGTGGCGCAGTTCGCATGCGTCCCCCCCCCAGTACAGCGTTTCGTGGCCCCATACGGGGCTCCCCCGAATGCGATACCCACAACTGCATATGGTTGGGCCTTTCGCCAGGCTAATTCCGCCGTGGGGTCCGCCCGTGCCAAGGCGACTCGAAAGGTCATATCCCCATTGTTTCACGTGTGGGTAGACACTTTTCAGCCGCACTGGGACGACAGCCTCACACGGAGGAAAGCTTTATGCCATACCAGTTCTTCTCCCTTTATGCAACCGGGTTGTAAGCCACCACGATGAAGTTGTATTCCGAGCCAATGGGCGGATGATGATGATGATGATGATGATGATGATGATGATGATGATGATGATGATGATGATGATGATGATGATGATGATGATGATGATGATGTTGCTGCTGATGATGATGCGGATGATGATGTAAGGATGATAAGGATGATGCTGCTGA